AATCAACTTAATATGCTACCATGACCAAAAGGGTCAAGACATCCCAGAAAATGAGGACACGATTAGCAGCAACACCAGAACCCATCAGTCACTCGTACTCAGAATCCCAGCTGCTTCCGCACCTGTAGGCATCTGTCAACGTGCACCAGGGAAGGCAAAACAGATCCTGAAAACCTCCAGCGAAGGCTGGCCAAAATGACAAAGTGACTAGACAGGCGTCCACATGAAGCCAGGCTTTGAAATGAGACAAAATGCTCTCAAAATTAGAAAGAAAACAATGAAGTTACAAGACTCAGGTTAACTAAACCATTTTATATAGAGATTGAGTTACCATGGTCTTCCTCTTCAAATCCCAAACAGGAGAATTAGATTGCACTCTTAGAATATCTATTAATCATCTATCATTTTCAGGGGAGGGATATAACTTGAAAGAGGTAGTTGCAAACAACTACAAGGGATGAATTATTGTTTTGTATTATGATCAGTAATTTTCTGGGTTCTTCAATCCAAAAGATAGTATATGCTAGAAAATGACTAAGTCCAAGAAATGCTTAAGTAACCCCAAGGAATATACAACTAGATTGTGTTACTGGGAGTACCTAATTTTATTGGTACTACATGCTAAAATTTTCAAGATTGGGAACATGCAACCCTCTAGTAATAATTCTGAGGCTTCTTAGGGATAGAAGATTGGGCCAGCTGAGCCTCTCGTTTGACGCAGTGAGATACTGCGCATGTTTTCACAAAGGGGTCCTCCGCTTTCACTGGTAGGAAAAAATGCAGCACTTAACTTTTGACAGAAAATCATATGCAGATAAACATTTCTGAATTCTGGAAGTATTGCAATAATTATTTTACTAGCAAATAAGCATGTATAACTTCATATCTTAAATATAACATTGCTATATCACACCTATTTACATAAGATGAATAAGCTGTATTTTTAAAGTTTTTACACATGGACACTGAATAGATAAAATTCCTGAGGCTAGCGGAATTGCTAGGTATTAAAGAGGGATTCACTCCAATGGTACTTTAAAAGCAGGAGAGTGTTCTGCCTTTCTCTTGATAATTCTAAAGTTAGGATAGACTAGGGCAAGAACACACAGCACATGGCCGAGGCTTTGCTGGTTTCAGGCAGCCATTCAGTTCTCAGCAAACCCAATTTCTTTAAGCTTCAAAGTGGGGAAGAGTCCACCTTCACCATTACCCACAGAAGCATCTTTTATTCGAGATGGGAAAACTATCATCTTAGCCCATCGGCACCATAGTGGGACTCTGGCCAGGGTTCCGCTAAGCAGTGAGACTTAAGCAGTGACATAAAGTAACAGATACATTCCTTAGAAGCCACTTTGCAACCCAGTTTCACCAAATTATTTCCATTCACTCCTTAATTACAGAATGACTTTAAAACAAAATTGCCTGATTTGAGTTTTATTTTCTTTTTGTGTTTTTCATCTCATCTTGGTGAAAATGCTCCACTAATTAGGGGCCTCAGAAGGAAAAAGTAAAGAGCAACCCAACTTTACCAAATAAATCATTCAGATATTATGGGGGCTATTTTAACATGTACACACTCTAAGATTATTTGCTGAGAGTTTAAATAAAATAAATAAATAAAATAAAATAAATTACTCCCTCAACTGCTATCAGAAATAAAAAGGACTGAAAGCAAAAGAGTTTCCCAAAATGTGAAACCCAAACAAACCTCTGCTATAAACTTCACTTGTCCAGGAGCTATTAGAGTGAAACTCATGATCAATGTGTTTTCCGAGATGACTCAAATCTACATGACTAAATTCACCATGAATGAACACAAAATATTTCAGCTTATGTTTTAAGATGGTCTATCTAGTAACAAATACTTTTAGGGTATGATAGAGTATGAGAAAAGGAAATATTTTCGTTTTCTTGTGCACACATTTTATGGTTAACATTACTTTATAAACAAAGACCAACAATACTATACTCTGGACATGAATGGTAAGCAACACAGAGAAAAGTAAAGATAATGAGAGATGTCATGTCAAATTTTCTAGAATCATATTATATAGTTTTTCATATGACATCAAGTTCAATACAATTTTATGAACCTGAGAAAACACTCTCCTTCATGTTTCACTTTCAGTATATACACACAATGTCATTCTGAAGGAGGCATTTTTACCTTACTTCCATTGCATGGGTTTGCAAATTCCTTTTCTCCCCATGTACCAGTCGCATATGCAGCTCAAGTGTTTTTTTTCCAAAGGAAGAATTAGGGCCAAACAAGACAAAGAATTTGCTGATACACACATGTCACTCCAAGAATTTTCCTGACAAATTCTCCACACCCAATTTAATTACTTCCCTACTGTAAAAACACTTTCCATCTGTGTTCATTCTAATCTTTTCAAATCCAAAACCAACATACTATAAAGCTAGTTAAAGAAGTGAGTGACATTAGCTTTAGGTTCCAAGTGAGCCAGCATTTTATAAGGCAGTGGGTCTCCAGCTTGCATGCGTTTTATGCTGATACAGTATTTCATTTGGAGCTCAGTTCTTCACTTCGTATTTGTTTAGAATAGAATTATCTAGCTTATGCTTTAAAATCTCTATCTGAACCAATCTCTCTTTTTCTCCCCCTCCCTCTCTTCCACTTGCAAACACACATATGCATGGGAGGTGGGAAAGGCAGGGAGAGAGAGAGAATGAATATTTGAATGACTGTGGTTTTTAATAACTAAAAAAAAGAATGCAGCCATATATGTATTGTAAATACTAAAGCAATGCTGCGAGTGTCTATTTGGTGTGGGGATTTTTTTGATGGGTTGTAAGAACTGAACCTCAAAACATGCAATACATGAAAAATACTGTTTTTGGCATTCCTTGATTCACTGACTTTGGTAAGTTATTGTGTGCTTTTTGTGCAGAATATTCTTTAGTATATTTTTAGTCTCTTCTTGGTATTCCATGGTTGCATTAATTAACTGCTAGCTTTGGCACTTCAATACCTAACACTCATGAATAAACAGAGAAGCCAAGAGTAGTCACATCTTTATGTTACAGACTCTATTAGGGTATGGAGACTGTCTCCATACCCTCCATACTCTTGCACCAGAGGTTAGGAGAGACCAGCCACTAACAAAGTCTCTGAGCAACCTTGAACCAATAGATGATTCTAGCTCACCTGAAGGTCTTTCCAGCTTGTATTTTAATATGTAAATATTGCTTTGTTTGTTTTTGATATCACAACATTTTACCATCCTCAGAAATTAATTTGTCTAATTTTACCTGTTTGTATTATAGATTAGGAAGTTAGTCACAGCAACCATCTGCTAGTTTTTAGGAAGTCAAGGTACTTTTCAATTAGTATATATCACATAATATATATTAATATATTAACATTATATATTAAATATCTGATAAATATTATAACATGACTAAATATATTTTAAGTAGTCACTTAAAATAGTCATCATTTGCCTTAAAAATAAAATCGTACTTTTAAGGCCTTATAACCTGGGATTCCTGCTCTAATTCTAGGTTTAAACACTAAGCTCTAAAGTCTGTTTCTTCTCTGACTTACTGATATCAACTGTGAACACAATCAGCTTGGTGGCTTTCTGCTTGGCTAATTTATTTAGGCGTAATATTATTGGGCCAAAAATCTCCAGTGGCTTGAAGGGTAAAGTATTTTGATATGAAATAGTAAAAATAAGAATGGTGATATTGTTCCATTTTTCTTAGTAACCCTTAAGACCAGCAGCTTGCAAAAATTATCTAATTATTTAAATAATAAGTCACAGGTAGGTCACTTGAAAGGTCAGTAAAATAATTAGAAAGAACATGCCCACAAGAAATAGAAGTTGGGCCTTTGCTCCTCTCCATGCCTTCTGGAATTACTCTGCTTTGTAAGAAAAAAAAAATATATTTATATAATAGTTCACTCATTTCCTCCTGCTCCAATAAGCTGAAACTACTTGGTTCTACTTTGATACCTAGCTATAAAGAAAAAATATCAAATGTCAAAAATTTTATAGCAGATTATATATTCTTGATGAACCTTCAAAAAGGCCATCATTTTAATACAAGGTGCATAGGAATTAATCACAGAACTATCTTACTGCATACAACAAAGCAAAGGCTACTCAGAATGGAAATAGACTGTATGAACATGTACTCGCTGCCCAAAAAGAATATATGGCAGTTGTTAACACTTTACCTGGAGTCATACTGTTTTGTTACACAAAGGAAATCGCTATGTACATCATATGCTGGAGCAAGTAGGATAAAATAAACTAAGACCCATCTCACCATTAAATATAAAGGTCTTAGTGCAGTAAGTTAAGGTATATCATTAATATCATATCAAGGATATATGTTTATTATGGCAATGGTATTTATAATACTTTTACTTTTCTATTTAAAATTGAGGCACTGGATCTTGAAATGAAAATATGTAGGCTTGAAAAACCTTTCGGGCATCTGGTCTCACACCAAGCAACTAAAAAACCCTGTCTATAGTGGCCTGACCACTTTAATTCATCATTTCTATGGGCTCCAAATAACCAAAAAGAAAATGTCAATTTAATTTTGAGTTCTCCAATTTGACAGCATTCACAACATTTAGCAATGTTTGATTAAAAAGAAAAGAAATATTATAGTTATTTTGGTAAACATAGATTTGGAAGTTACTGAGTTTGTGGCAAAATTTTAGATAAGAGATTAGTAAGACCAGTGAAGGCAAAGGTAAAATAATGAGTGTGAAAGGAAGATGTCCTCAAGTACCTCTGGCAATGTTCCTGCTATTAGTCTTTAAAGCTGATTTTGATCATTATCCTTTTTATTAATATAATGATTAATGGCACCCTAATCAGTATAATACACAATTTCCACAAAGATTAAGCTCTTAAAGAAACCAGTATTTCAAATCATAGTTGTATTTAGAATACAACATCTTACTAGTTCTCTAAAATTGCAATTTTTCTTAGAAAGTCTTGGCCTCTATTTCACTGTACCTGGAGTTCTGAGGTTCTGAAACATCTGATTCTGTGCACGTTTTCTTTACCTGTAAGAAAAGAGTACTAGTTATTCTCATATGAAAATACAACTTCCTCACTCAGGTTCACACACTCATTAAACTTAAAGTGGATACAGCTCTGTTCACCAAGATCTCTATAAAATACTCTCCACATTTTACAGCGGCAGCATGCAGTACTAAATAGGGTATTTCATTATTTTCCCATGAACAGCTGCCAAAGGCACTTCCCTAGACTCCATTAGTATATAAAATGTTCAGCTAAAATAGCTCGGGACTAGCTTAACTAGGAACAAAGAAACCAAAGAACCAGGTTTCCCACTTAGAAACTAGAAAGCCATACTGTTCTCAATTCACTAAGAAATGTTTTCTCAATCGATACTACTTCTGTCTCCTACTAAAGCACACAATAATAAACACCAGGTTCTGGGGGCAACGCATGGTGTTAGCTAAAACATTCATATATTAATTTTCATTTTCTCAATCCAGTGGCTGTATGTTTTATATATTTCTCAGCATATTAATTAAGTTTCAACATTGCTCATGGGCTTCTCACATATATTTGCAGTGTATTTTGCAGACTATATTTCAACTTTGTGGTTTTTAACCCACAAAAGGTAAAGAATGAAAATAACTTTTACTTCAAGGACATGCTATTCATTTCTGCACAATAGTGTGCAACACATTCTCTATAATAAGGTAAAACACAAAGCCATTTTTCACAATTTAACTGCAAGCACAGATACTTATGTTTATTACGGTCTTAATGGTATATTATATGTAAAGTAGACTCAATTTCAAAAATCTTTTAGTTAATATGAAGCATTAACAATATACATTTCCAAGCCCATGGTCATGTACTCTGGGTGTCTATATAACCATGGTTTATCCATACAACCTAAAGAATACAAGGCATTTTAAATTCTAATGTGTAGTTTGGAAGTGACAGGTAAGTCTACTGAATACACCACGTGGTATGAACTGCAGTACAAGTGGCATCACTGAAAAGTATGCTTTGAATTTTAAAGATACCACATTGTCTTTCTAACACACAGGCAATGCTTTCCCCCTTGGACTCAGAAGAACACTTAAATAAACACAGAAAACCCCTACACTTTCAAAAATCTGTCTTTTGCTATTCTAAACCAAGACATTTTTATAATCTGGGAAACAAATTATTTGCTTGATTAAGTGCACTCTCTTTTACATCCTGTGTATACATTTATACAATATAAAAATAACACTGATTAGCAAAGAGATTACCCTATTTGTAACATTTTCTATGCTCTTAACATGGAATTTAGAACCATGAGATGGAAGGGTGAGGAAATGTTTCCAAGAGTAATTAGTTTAAAAAAAAGAAAAAAGGAAATACTTTTCTTAAAATGTCAACATAGAATTTACTACAAAACCCACAAAGGTCTTATGTCTATTAACATTTTTCCATGAAATAGAAAAACTAAAAAGGAAGGAAACCAAAATAAAACCCTTCTTTCCCAGTGGTTCATTTGTATGATTCATCACCATAAAGTACATGAACTGCCCAATGAATACACAGAAATCATTCCAAAGCGAATGTCACTTTCCCTAAGACTACGATGACTTGACTTTGGGACTGACTGACGACACTGCAGACGACACAGACAAACTAGACATATGCTCCCAAGCAAGAGTCAGAACCAGACAAGCTTCCTGTGGTTCAAAAGACAAGGAATTTTTTTCTTCAATACCTATGGCTACATAAAACATCATTCCCAAAATAATTATCAGAAAGTTCTGATTATTTTAATTTTTTTCTCAAAGCAATAATTGTAATGGCAGAGGACACATCTATTGATTACTTACCATCTTGTACTCACAAAGTCCTAGATCCACAGCTAATAAATATGTGATAAAATACTGAAGTATAGATATTCTCTTAGATATTGTAAGAACTATGCGTTACTCAAAGTGATTCTTTTTAAGAGGTTCATTCATTTGTTCAAGGTCAAATGAGGGCAGAATGGTATTTAGGAAACCATGGCTACTGTAGGAGAGGTCACACAGTGTCGTGGGTGTTCAGAGGACAATCTACCCCAGTCAAAGGAAGATGGGGATGGCAACAAAGGAAGTGACTTCCGAACCAAGTCTCAAAAGATATAGGCCTCAAAGAAAAGCAGGTGTTTCAACATCATGGGGTTTGCCAGAGGAACCGTATTATGAACACCTTATAAATGGTAAAGAATTTGGAATACAGTCATACCCCAGTACTCATCAGCTCCAGAACTAGTCAAACCCTGTACTTGCTGCATTTTGATGAGAAGAAATGTTTCAGCATGCCGTGCTTACCCAGTATCCGTTGCACTTACTAAAACTTGCAAGAGTCATGAAACTGCCTTGCAAGAGAAAATGCTTCATCATTTGGTACTTGTTGGGTTTGGCACTCACCATGAGTTCAGGAACAAATTAACAATGAGTACTGAGGTACCACAGTATGCTCGTGGGCCAGTGAAAACTGCTTAAGAGTTTTAAGAAATAGACTGCATAGAGATGGTACAGAAAAGCTAGTGTGGAAGGAGTACAAGGTGAGGGCTGCAAAACAGATAAAAACCTAATGCAAAAGGAAAGTACAAGTTCTATGACTGCAGAGATGGCATTGATTTTGGCCATCACTACATCTCTAAACTTAAGTAGATGCTCCTTGCTATGGTCTAAATGTTTGTGTCCTCCTAGAATTCATATGTTGACATTCTAACCTTCAAGGATAAGGAAGTTGGGCCTTTGGGAGGTTCTTAGGTCATGAAGTGGGGCCTTTATGAATGGGATTAATGCTCTTATAAAAGAGGCCCTACAGTACTCCTTAGCCCTTCTACCACTGAAGACATAGCAAGGAGCTGGCTGTGAACAATAAAGTGGGCTCTCACCAGACACAATGATGCTGGTGTCTTGATCTTGGACTTTCCAAACTCCGGAACTATGAGAAATAAATTTCTGTTATTTACAAACTAGCTAGTCTGTGGTATTTTGTTACTGCCACCCAAATGGTTACTGCCACCCCAAATACCAGTTTGCTAATACCAGTTTGCTGGATTGCTAATTCAATCCAGCATGAGAGATGCTAAACACCTGAAATAAGACAGGGGCCATGAGAAAAGAGTTGAGAGGGTGTTGTTGACAGATATTTCTGAGAAAGAATTGACAGAATATTGTTATTGACTGAGGCAAAGTATAAAGTAGAATATGATCTGATGTTTTAATCTATCCTTGAAAAAATTTTAGTAATACCAAAAACCAAAAAAAGGAAACTTATGACTTTAAAATACTTCAAAACCCTACCTTATTTCTAAATTGATGGAGAAAAGTTAAATGAATCATTAAGAAAGTTATATGTTTATAGTGTCTTGAACACGAAATTAGAAGCCAAGTGGAAAGTTTTACCTAAATTTGAACACACCCGCCCATTTGAGAGATCAGCGACACTTCATTAAACGGTGACTGCTGAAACATACACACTATTGAAGAAAGAACATTATTATAAAATATATAGAACCTTCTGTCTTCAATGACCACCAATTTAGTTTTGAACTTGTTCTGAACAAAGTTGAAGCAAGCAGGCCAAGAAATGAAGTAGAATTTCATGCCCCCAATTTAAATCCAAACCCTAGTTTACATGAGACACACAGGAGGTGGGCAAAACCCACCAGGAGGGGAAAAGTGAATTGTGTTAAATGCACTGAAGTGGCTGCATTATTGTGAATTTTAACCCTACATAATGTTATTAAAGTACACACAACATCAAAGCAGGAAAAAAGAATTAAAAATTTAGCTATTTTAAGATTATTATTAGTATATAGTAAACATATAAATGAATCAAAATAGTGATTTAAAAAATATAACCAAAGACCCTGAAATACAGAACAGGCTCACAGTGACCAGAAGGGAGAGGGGAGGGAATTTCAGGGGAATTTCAGGGGAAAAGGGGAAGGGTTTGCAGGAACGCGTATAAAGGACACATGGATAAAGACTAGAGGGGTGGAAGTCAGAAGGAGGTTGGGTGGGGGGGGTGGGCTGGGATGGGAGTTAAAGGCAGAAAACTGTACTTGAACAACAATTAAAATAAAATGAAATTTAAAAATTTTTTTTAAAAAGTTAATCATGTACAAAAAAATTAAAATTAAAAAACCAAGTAAGTGAATAATACCTAAAATTTTTTAGTGTTTGTTATATGCAAGGCACAATGCTCAGGTAGATACTTGGTTTTCTTTAATTCACAGACATCAATATTGAAAACCAAAAAAATTAATCAAAAAGCAATTTCTGTAGTAAACTTCAAATTAAGATTTATAAAGACAGTTTAATCAGTATATGTTAGGAACCTAAAATTCATAAACATATAAACTAAAATGTTTAAAATAAAGATTAAAAAATCTTAATATTTAAAAGTTCAATTTTCATTGCATTACAATAATAATTATTGCTCTTTGTTAAGCAATTACTCTTTTCCATCCACTGTGCTGGACTATATATATGTGCAATCTCATTTGATCTAGGAAGACAGGTATGATGGATGAAACCCTCCATCTACAAATGAAAAAACTAAGGCTCAAAGAAAACTAAGGTTAAGATTCTGGTTCAATGTCCCACAGCTACAGCACTAACAGGGATGAAATCAGAACTGAATGCTATACCTCAAGCCTTTCTTTCTTGCTTATGATAGATTTGCCAATTGCTTTTATTAGATCTTAAAAAAAAAACAAAACTGAGTTGAAACATTCCATGGAATGCTTTTTAAAGAAGAACCAGTTACTTCTTATATCAACTATTAAGCAAATCTTTTAAACTGGGTTACATAAGAAACCAGTTTTTACCAAGCACTAATAACACTTAAATTCTATGTAAATAGAGTGAAATGTTCTAAAGAAAATATCCAAATACCTCTAGCATCCACCACCCAAACAACTGCAAAAAACACCTAATGTGAAAAACAACTTCTGTTATTTTGTTGTTGCATGTCTGAAATAGCAAGACCCACTCATTCAACAAGGGTTTAC